TTTTTTTTATAGATATGTTAAATATAATCAAAAATTTTGCAAATAAAGTGAAAGTTATGGTTTGGCTAGAAAAGCCCGGAGAGCGAAGCGAGCCAAATGAAATTGCATCATCATAATAAATCACATGAATATTTAATACACAATCACATGATCTACCAGTAATTTTTCCACCAGTTAAAATTTAGAAATTCTCTTTAAATCTTAAAAACTATTTATCATAATAATTATGATACTGTATGGTAGTATAAACCAACTTAATTAAAAAAAAAGTCAGAATTATTACAGTTCTAATTATACTATGACTATAGCTCCCTGCCATGTTTAATGTTAACTTGTTATTAAATACAAGAAAAAAAATAAAATGTAGATCGGTCATATAGATTTGATTGATCAAAATCACAGGACTCAGCACAGTTAACTCAATCCGATGGTAGCTAAGTCCGATCAAAGTTTAAATTCGGTCTGCATAAAAATTCATATGACTGTGCTAAAAATTTACAGAAAGATCATCAGACCAGACTCAGTAAAGATATACTCCTTATTACTCTACAATGAGCTGTTGATTTAATATACAAACCCGTACATAATATTTATTTTATCGATTCAAATTATTCAATTTTTTATACCCTATAACAAAGAAATGTCCGGAAATTGCAGCAAGATGTCTGGGTATGTCTAGAAATCGTCTTGAAAATGTCTATAATGTCCGAAAAATGTTGAAAAAAAATTCCAGACAAATTTCAGAATTTCTTTTTCATGTGTTCTAAACAAGAATATTAATTAGTTGCAGAAAGTCATGTAAACAGTTCAACTTAGCTTTAGTTATAATGAACTTAATTGAATCTCTGCAGCATAATTTCCAACTTGATAGTATTCACGTCGCTTGAGTAGTACTACGAGAAATATCAGAAGAGTACGGGACAAGTCTACCTGGATACTACGTGTGTTAATGTTATAGAGTAATATTGGTATTTTCTTTTTTTTTCTTATACCTTAGTAGTGGTTTTCAAATGGGAATGGGTGCTTTCCTTGGTGGCTGCTTGAAAATATGATCTACTACTGTTTGTTGGATAGTGTTTTCGTTAGATATATGTAATATAAAAATTTTTTTCGCATGAATTAATTATCATAAAAGCAGTAAAGCGAAGCAAAGTTATAAATTCGGTTTTCATATCACAATTTACCTTTTTGGACCCGGCCGTCCGGATTTTTATTTTTAAATTCAAAATTTTTTAATAAAATAAATAAATAAAATTGATAATCTTTTTTTTCAATTTATCAGAATGAGAAATTTCTTTAAAGCAATATGTGTCCGTTGATATGATATTGATTTCTGTAATACATGCGGTTATCACATTGACATTACCGACATTATAAAATATAAACTATTTTATTGGCCAATTATCTTAATAAAAAAAAGTAATATTTTATACTTTATTAAACTTTTTATTTAACATATCACATACAACAAAAAAAAAGATAACCTATCGAATTTAATCTTCTAGCTACTTTCAATTTAATTTGTGATATTATTCATATTATACTATAAACTTTTGGTATAAGTTTAGTAGAATAGTATGCTTTATTTCGTATTCTTGACACTTCTTCACCATCTCACGAATTTTTATTCTTAAGAATATTTCAGTAAAAAAATAAAATCACTAATACCTTTCCATATGATACAGTAAGAAAAAATAAATTTAATACTAAGAAACTTGTTAATATATTCATTGATTTCCGTCATCAAAATTATCTTTAGTCAAAATATATCTAGATAAATCTAAGGAATACTCATAATCTTCTTTATTATCAATCTTTAAACTTCTATAGTCTGAACATAGGACACAAATATGTAAGTCTAATTTAATAGATTCTCTGATACTTTTTGAAAAATTATTATTTGATTTACCATAAGTCGATTTTATTATTTGAAAGGTAACATAATTATATGACCATTTAACTAACTTGATGGTATTATCAGGCTCATAATTATTTGATGGGTAATATGCATGAACAAAAATAGTATATCCTTGAGATAGTGGAAAAGAGGTTTTAATACAATAATTTGATTTGTCGAGTCGTAATATAATAGATTCTTTAACACGCTCGACTTGAAATTCTCGATTACTCGGACTAAAAATTAATAATTCTGAAGGTTTTTCAACAATCATCCATAGAATGCAGCATTCTTTTATATTGACACTTGTTTCTTCTAATTTTTTTATCGATGCAAAAAATCCGTTAATATCATATGATCCAAAATTAACATAAATTTCTTCTAATCTTGAATTATCTTTAGAAATAATTGATCCAAATACTTCATAATTTTCATCTTCTAATGATGGTTCGATATTTATGCGCTTGTAATAATCAACGTCGTTATTATCTAAATCTTTCAAATCAGTAACTCCTGTCATCAATATTCTATATTTGCTTTGTAATATATCGTCTATTTTTTTTTGTTGTGTCTCCTTAAGAATTTTGTAAAGAGGAATAATATCATCAAATTCAATAACTTCCAAATTATTTGGATTCTGGATCCAATTAAACAATTTATTTTTTTTGATTATTTTTCCTTTTGGTGTTAAGAAATGTGAAATATTTAAGTTGTCCAAATGCAATTTAAATGATTCCGGTCCCGAAACAACGGTTTCAAATGCAGATGAGGATGAAGTTGGTAAAATATTCTTTAGAGATCTTCCTAAAATAATTCTTTGTGGAAATAAATGACCATTTTCATTAAAAATATTTTGTAAAACTTTTAATGGCATCATACTACTAAGCGCTTCTTCTATGACATGCTCAAATTCTTTTGTAGGTCTAACATTATTCTTATCTAAGAGAATTTCATATTGCTCACACTTGATTAGAATATGGCAGTAATCCTCATAACTCATAACATCATTACTTTTAGTAAACAAAAAGGAACTTAAATTTTTTAATGATAAAATATCATTGGAAATTAAACGTACTTCTATTTCTGTGGAAGGTTTAATAATTTTCAAATAAGATTTACTACTCGGATTGACCTTAGGAATTTTAATGAAATCAATGGAGGGTTTCTTGCTAATTTCCATTTCATAATTTTTAAATATTAACCCCTGAAAAAGATGAAACTTTCTGGTCCAACTTGCTAGATTATTGTCTACTGCATCTCCAACCCATTCTACTATACTTAACTTCTCTTTAAAATTAATGACTCCGGGCTGCTTTTCATTATTTTCATTAAAAAGGCCATCTCTTGGTAAACTAATAAAGTTTTTTAATTTAGAAACGGGAATGAGATTTTCATAGGAAAGAATAAAAATGCTTTTTTCTCCCTCTTGATACAAACTATTCATCCATTTGGCCAATTTTTCATGAGTATTTAATTCGTCTCCATCTAATGTAACTATTTTTGGTAAAAGATTTAAAGTGAATAAATTATTGAACGAAATTTCTGTAGAATATTTAGCTGAACTATACGTGCATAATAGACAAAATTTTAGAATATCAATTTGTGTTTGGGTGGCTGACTTTAAATTCTTGATAAATAATTTACTACCAACTAAGACTTTACTTGCAAAGAAGTGCCCATACAGTTTATTCAAAATTGCATTATTATTTACACACCTTGAAAAAGATTTCGATACATCACCTTTATAAGTAATTTCAGCAATCGGAAAATTAATACACATATCAGATGGTTGTAACATATTATTAGAATTATCTTTATCTATAGACAAATCATATACTATTGGTTGTCTATTGCATAAACTTATATTCAATTCACCATCTTCCATGAAAACAGCTTGTCTACTTGGTTGTATGCTATATTCACCCAACAATAACCCATGATTCAGCTTCAATTGTTGAATTATTTGTTGCTTATTATTTATGGATTTTACCATCGCCCTTATAGTAGGAATATTAATTTTTGATATGAAACTTTGTGATAACTTATTTAGTGCATCACTATATTCTTGTTCAGCTGATTTTATATACAATTCAAATGCTTCAGCCTCATCTTTTTTAACACCATTTCCATTCTCATAACATAAACCTAAATTATATTGTGAAAATTTATTTCCATTTTCTGCTGCTTTCTGGTACCAATAGATTGCCTTCTCTAAATCTTTTTCTGTACCCATGCCACTTTCATAAAAATATCCTAACTTATGTTGTGCATTACTATATTCTTGTTCAGCTGATTTTTTATACAATTCGAATGCATTCACTTCATTTTTTTTAACTCCGTTTCCATTTTCATAAAGTACACCTAAATTATATTGTGAAAATTTGTTTTCATTTTCTGTTGCTTTCTTGTACCAGTAAATTGCTTTCTCTAAATCTATTTCTGTGCCAATACCATTTTCGTAAAAATATCCTAACCAATGTTGTGCATTACTATATTCTTGTTCAGCTGATTCTCTGTACCATTTAAGTGCTTTAATTTCGTTTCTTCTAACACCATTTCCGTATTGGTAACATCTACCTAAATTATATTGGCCGATTATATGTCCATTTATTGCTGTTTTTAGATACCAATAAATAGCTTTCTCTAAATCTTTATTCGTACCAATACCATTTTCATAAAAATAACCTAACTTATTTTGTGCATTACTGTATTCTTGTTTGGCTGAATTTTTATACCATTTAAATGCTTTAACTTCGTTTTCTTCAATACCAATTCCGTATTGATAAAATCTACCCAAATTATATTGGCTAATTTTATTTCCATTTTCTGCTGCTTTCTTATACCAATAAAATGATTTCTCTAAATCTTTTTTCGTACTAATACCACTTCCATAAAAATATCCTAGCTTATTTTGTGCATTACTATATTCTTGTTTAGCTGATTTTTTATACCATTTAAAAGCTTCAACTTCGTTTTTTCTGACTCCACTTCCGTATTGATAACAAACGCCTAAATTATATTGAGAGATTTTATTTCCATTTTTCGCTGCTTTTTGATACCAATAAATTGCCTTTTCTAAGTCTTTCTTCGTACCCATGCCACTTTCATAAAAATATCCTAACTTATTTAGTGCATCAGTATATTCTTTTTCGGCCGATTTTTTATACCATTTAAATGCCTCAACTTCGCTTTTTTCAACAATATTTCCGTACTGATAAAATCTACCCAAATTATATTGTCCAATTTTATTTCCATTCTCCGCTGCTTTTTGATACCAATAAAATGCTTTCTCTAAATCTTTTTCTACACCTATGCCACCTTCATAAAAATATCCCAACTTATTTTGTGAATTACTATATTCTTGTTTAGCTGATTTTTTATACCATTTAAATGCTTCGACTTCATTTTTTCCAATACCATTTCCGCGTTGATAAAATCTACCCAAATTATATTGGCTAATTTTATTGCCATTTTCTGCGGATACTTTCGTATCAATATAATGTTTCCAGTTAGAATGTACTATGAAGTTCGAATATTCATCATATTCGAGTTGCTCTTCGAAAACTGACATTTTTTTTTTCGGTTCTACAATTACGCCGCCTGCAGGTTCTAGCTATAATATATATAGAGTCGCACAAAATTGCCTTTTACAATATAATAAATTTAGTAATTTGTCGTTATTTGTGTATAAATTATAAAAGTGTTACAAGTCGCTCATTATGCAGTAGTTACACTGCAGGACTCATGGTAGTACACACTATTGCCTTTTGAATCTAGATCTTCATAAATAAATTGGGATACACCATTGTGATGGTCCAAGATACAATGGCCCTATAAAAAATTTTCTGAGTAAAATTCCAATAAATGATCATTTTCTAAAAAAAACTCTGATATGATATGTGATCAATTTTCTAAATAGATGGTTGATATTGTAAAGAAATGTATTGGCTAGTTAATTAATATTAGTTAAATTTAAACAAATGCTTTTCCTGGATTTTATGTATATTAAAATCGTGGAAAAAAACTATTAATTTCTAAATATTTAACAAAGGATGGTCTGCCAAAAGATTTGTGTTACATTAAAAAATGAAATTTTATATGTTTATTATCTTTAGTGTAATAAACAATTTCCTTTTCCAAAAAAAAATCACCTTTTTAGAAATTTGTGCAACCTAAATGACTGTTCATTATTATATTGTATTATATATTTAGTATCTGATTCAGTATCTGATTCAGATTCTGATACTGATACTGATACCTGATCTGAAAAGGCCTGTAATTTTTTTTACAAATTAAAGTTATTTAAATAAAAAAAAGAATGGCAGGTCATCTGATGACATGATTCATTCCAAATTATTACAACGCATTAGCATTATTCAGTCACAGCGTTGTGCCATGGATATTAGAAATATTTCAACATGAACTTTTTTTAATTTTACTTATAAAAAATATAGATTTTATTTTGGAATTTATGTACCTTATAATTCCTGTATTACTATACCTAATTTTACCTCTTCAAGTAATAATAACTTTGTAGATTCTTTTAATCAAACACGTCATATTCCTAGTCCATTTATAATATTATATGATTGACATGCATATGCATGTGTCATTCATCAAAAAGAATTCTTTTATAATAATCTTTTTCATAATCAAAAAACTACACTCCTTAATCCTTCCATTACACCTCCTGTTAACAAAGAACAAAATAAAATTTGGCATGCCATCTAATTAAGTATATTAGAAATGGTATTTCAAATGAAAAAACTATATCTTTTTATATCACCTTGATATTAGCTATAATGTCTCTTACCATTGCAATGGATATAACAAAGTCATTAATTAAGGGTCACATTACATATACAAAAAATTTCTTAACAACTTCAAATGATTATCACCAACAAATCCATGCATAAAGAAAAAACAATATGAATGCTTCAAATGTCATTGTAGAAGAATTTTTAATTCTAAAGTTCAACCATCAAAGTCATCCTTAGATGATCAAAATTTTAAGCTTGAAAATATCATTTCCTATTTTTGGAATCACAGTATATTGCCAAACCTATCCAACATTTAAAATATTTAGGACCTGATAGCATCCTAAATGAAAGCAGTTATACTTATCCTTTTAAAATACCTACATTTGCACTTAGGTTAAATTTACATGATACTCCTCGATAGTGAAAGACCATCTGTGGAATCACTTTATCCTACAATTTTCCATATCTCATGTCAACAACCTTGGAGTTACATTTGGCACTCAACATCAAGTTCCAGTTTTACACCAAAACTGGTTGTACCACCTGCTCATTCATTCACAGATGCTATTACTATCAGGCTAGCACATAATGATAAATACGTTATTTCACAACTCAAATTGAATAAACAAGTAGTTGTTGATACGCAGATGGCTAAAATTGATGATCTATGATCGAAATTAGAAATATATAATAATCTGAATGAGGTTGTAGTGCGAACAGAAAACCAACCTTTAGATTATGAAAGATTGAATCGATTTTTAGAATGGAGGAAGGGGTTAGATAAAAATTTTTAAAAGACGAGGTTTGAAATTTTGGTAAGGGATCCTTTTGGATCAATAAACAGAATACTTTTTTTTGGTAAGCTGATCCCGTAAGCTCTCAGTAGGCTCTGTTCCCGTAAGCTCTCAGAAAGCTGATTGATCTCATGATAATGCTTTCAATCTTTACTTTAAAAATTTTCATAATTTTTTCACCATTTTAATTTCTTACTTTTATGACTTAAATTTTTTTAGTTTTAGCATTCTTTCTCGATGTAAAAATTGTTTTGTCAATTTTTTTTATTTTTTAGAAATAAGTATTAGAAAAAGTATAGTGCGTTAGTTAGTTACATTCAGGATCACTTTTATATCAATCACAAATTTATATATAACATCATTCTGCATATGACAGTATTTACATGTAGGGCCTTTTGGCTAAAGAAAAATACGATCTTTTTAATAAAGATGCTAATTTTTTTTTCTTTATTTTCTTAATTATCGCCCTTTGGGTGAGTTTTATTTTTTGTGTGTATGTTTTTATTTTATTATTATCGTTTGATCTGGTTTGTTGGGAACATTTCAATATAATTGTTTTGTTTTAGATATTTAGTTTAGTATTAGTGTTTTAACTTTTTAGTTATAACTGTAAATCAAACTAAAGACATGTATAAATTTCCAAAAAATTAATAAAGTTTAATCATTTAACCAGTAAAAAAAAAAAAAAAATTAGCATTGCTATTGCTATTGCTATAGCTATTGCTATAGCTATAGATATAGCAATATAGCAAAATTGCATCTTTTGACGTCATTAGATTATTCACTTCTGTGCTACTTTTAATGCATTTTTAATTGTACCATCAGAAAAAAGGTTTTTGTAAAAAAATTTAATTTCCGTTGATCAAAAAAAAAATTCATTAATCAACAAAGAGACCATCTTTCAATAAAGATGATTTAGTTAAAAATCTACTTATTTTTAAAATGTTTTAAAAGATAAAAAATGTTGGTATTTAATTGAAAATATTTGATATATTAAAAATTACAAAAAAAAATTTTTATATTTAAATAGATCAGATTGTTATGTGGTGACTGCATTGCTACCAGACTGTCAAAGAATTTTCTAAGTTATTAAGTCACAATTGAGTTATGGTTGAGATGCGGTTAATTTTTTTTGATGAACATGTTGCGCTGTAGATTGAGTCGTGACTCTAATTCTAAGGCTTCTTCGTTTTTTCCATCAGTTCCCAGCCTGATTAACTTATGTATTCTATGTCTACAAAAAGTAGCCATTGAATTAGCAGTGAATTTGTTGAATTTGCGACATCCTTCTTTTTTCATGAATCTATCAAAGCGCTTCTTTTGTCCTTTTTGTAATTTTTACGAATGGAACAGGTTCAGTAAAACTTTTTCTAAACAAGAAATTTTGACTCCTAGATATTTTCTTTGTATAAGAACACCCTAATCGCCTGGATACAATTCTGATTTCATGTTGACTAGAGGTTTTCAGGTAATCTTTAACGTTGATTGGTCTAGGATTCAATTCTTCCACGTGACTTATTTACTTCACGTGATGTGGACATCTTTTTTCGATTTCTACTCATTACATAGGTACATGGAAAATTACAATTCATCAAACCACAAGGTTCATATACATCTATGTAGAATCCTCTATATCCATAACTGAAGCGACAGAAGGCTTTGTCTTCTTATTTTTCTCTTTACGCCAAGATGCGGAAACGTGTTTCTTATTTCGTGCAAACACTGCCTTATCTTGCTGAATGAGTAATGTACGTACTCTATCAAAATATTTTCTTCTAGCTCGAGATGGAATAAAATCTTGAATTCTAAATAAACTTTCAAGAAATTTGCTATACTTATACTTATCATTCATCTTTCGTGAATTTGACAATTATTTCAGATTTTCCATAACACCTTTTTATCATTCGTGTGTACTATTAAATTCTTTTTATCTAACAAATAATAAAAAATTTCTCCTAGACGATTGGAACCCGCATAAGATTTCAAGGGTAATTTGGTGTCACAAATGTAGGATAATCTAAGGTCGTACGATCCCATATTGATCGATCCCATGGTTGGTTCGATCCCCAAATGACGTGCAATTCCAAATTCGTCAAGTCACGTGACTAATTAAAAATATTCCCACACGAAGCTATTTTTCCAAAGGAATTATCCAAAGGAAAAAACCAGAGGGGACTAATACTGAATATCAAAAGGAAGGTGTATATAATAATATATTCTAAATAACGCTATAATAAAATAGCAAACAACCAATAGAATAAAATTCTATTTGATAAAAGGCCAACTCTTTCACGGAACTCGTTAAAAATAATTTTTACGTTTTTTCGAAAATAAAATTTCAGCGTATTTAGTATAAAAAGCGGAGAAAACCACATATTTTTGGTCAGACTGGATAGGTTTGAGGCTGTCCACAGAGTGGAAGTACGTCCTTTTCTTTTTTCGAGTTAACAGCAGCCAAAAACTCCCCTACTGTTAATACTGTTAATAGTTACTGCGCCAGCATAGCTATATACGAAATTCACATGGTGCATTCCCAAAAAGATGAAAATCTGCACGAAGATCAGAGGATTACTTACTAATTGAGCGAAAAAGTGAAATAAAAATTACGTTTTCCAAAAAAAAAAAAAAAAAAAAAAAACTCAGAAATGTAATCAAATTTCTAAAAAAAATTTTTATAGAATTAATTAACTTCGTTCAATTCTACATTTATATTTAATACTATATGCTCGATTTTTATAATCAACTTAATTTATTAAAAGAAGAAAATTATTATTTAAGGCGAATTAAAATAGTTTCATTCTATACCTCTGCTGCAATTTTCTAAATAGTAAATGAATGTATACTAAAATTTCAAAATTTCGTCCGAAAATTTATGGCTTCGCCCGATAAATCACATATAATTAGCATAATCGGAAGTAATCGGCTCAAAGTCTAAATTACTAAAAACCAAGTAAATGATCGACATCATTTAATTAAACGGAATATATTCTTTTGAAGTGGTTTAACTTTATCGAACTAATTAT